GTCAATCAACGGATTGTGTTGGGTGAGCCAGCTATATCCAAGAATGACAAAACAAGATGAATCCAAAGGGGTAACATAAAATGTATTAGAGGTAACTACACTGGACGAAAATCGGACAGGGAGGTCTATGGCTTTGGAAATATTGTTATTACAAGTACCATCAAATAAATGAAGCGGAAGCAGAGGGATCCTGTATGTAGGGATTTTATTTTTTGGACAAAATTTGTATCTATAAAACAATGAGAGGAACCACAATCTACAAGAGATGGAAATTCGGAAATACTGGGATATGTCGGAATCATGATATATGGACAGAGTGAAGTTGGATTGGAAACAGAGACAGCATTAAGACGTAACTCCTTTGTATGGGTTGAGATAACGTGACCCCCATCCCATACGGAGTCAGGAGGGTCGCGGACTATTTTTTTGCCTCAGACGAGGCTTCCGGTTTGGCTTCCGGAGTGACTGTAGCAGTGCGGCCTTTGGCAGCGTGCGAAGTCGATTTGTTGCAGTCCCAGGCAGTGTGTCCGGGTCCACCACAGAATAAGCAGAGCTTCTTATCTAAACACCTCTGGCATTCCTCAGAAGTTAGTTTTCCATCCTTACCCAACTTGGAGGTAAGGTCTGGGGCCCTTGAAGCGGATGAGGTAGAGGATGTAGTGGGTTTTCTGGGTTTATGTCCAGAATTCTGATTTCAGGATTTGTTACTTCCAGATCTGGACGAGTGGGAGCTGGTCCGGTCAGAGGCTGACTGCTTAGGAGGAGTGGATGAGGAGGGTTTGGTTTTGCGGGAGATCTCTCCCTTGCATTCCCAATAATGGGCATCTATGGTTTGTGCGAGGGTCTTGTATTCTGGGAGGGTAGCGGGTTTTCCCATGCGGCTGATTTCATCTTTGATACGAGCTGGAAGTCCATTATAGAATTGTCGGCGTAGGGCTCCATCGCCCCATCTGTGGACTTGTGAGGCAAGCCACTGGAACTCCACAATGTACTTATTGATGCGCTGTCTGTCACGCATATTGAGTTGCTCAAGCTGCATTTCCATGTCTCCGGAGGGGTCATGAGGTCCGAAATTGGTCTGGAGTTCAAGCATGAACTCGGAATAGTCATCCATCCAGTCTGGATGATCAGTATTCTCGTCAGAAAGGAGGTCCGGATCAAACCATTCAAGGGCCATGCCTTTGAGATAGGATTGGGCAAAGTTGACCTTAGATCTTCTGGTATGGAAAGCATTGGGTTTGCTTTGGAAATTGAGTTTGCACTGGACAAAGAATGCTCGCAGTTTCCGGGGCTCGGTGCCATCAAAGACATCCGGCTCACGGACTTTGACCTTCAGGTCTTCGGAAAGGGTGGTGCGACGATTGTTTCAGGCGAGGTTGTTGATAGCTCTGGATAGGAGTACCATGACACAGTCCTGTGGATTCAGGCCATCGTTTTCATCGCCATCATCATCATCATCTGGATCATTGTCCAGATTTCCACCATTCCCATCTGGCGGATTTCCACCAGGGGTATCATCATCATCATCATCATTGTCATCGTCGTCTGGATCTCCTTTGCCCAGAGGAGCTAAGGCTGGGGTCCATGTAGGGGTTTCTGGATGTTGACGACTCAGGAGTTCTGAGATGCTTCCAGCAGTAGCACGCTGGCTAACATGACGCTGAGAGAAGCTATTGAAGGTTTTGATGATAGGGGTAGAATCCTGGCAGGCGGAAACTAGTCTGGCCACTCAGAGAGGGTTTGTTGTTTTGGTAGGAGCCATGATAGATGTAAGTATACTCGGAAAGGTGTGAGTTCGAATATACTGTTAAGGTCGCATGCTCAAGGGGGGTCGGATCACAAGGGCTTGGCCTCAGCTCGTATGCTGTGCCCCTTTCCTGAGTATGTGCCCTTAATTTCTGGGGGCTAGAACAGTCATCCAGAGTTTCCGGGATTTGACTAGGGCGGATAACGGACATCTGGATCTGAAACGTGAGATAAATCTGATGGACATCCGGATATTACCTGGGCAAGTGGATAAGACTAATCTGGACGAAGTCCAGACTAGAAACTAACAGAGGATGGACTACCCTTAAGGTAGAGTCGGAAATATAGTCTAGGATGCAATCCTAAGACTCGGAATATGACAAGAGACTTATCTTGAGTCTGGAGGACACAGGAATGAGCAGGAACTAAGATGATATTCAAACTGAAGTATTTCCGAGAGTTACAGGAGGTTTATATACTGTAGGTATCATATAGGAATCAGTCAGCAAACATAAAGGCTATGTACAAAGCATATGCAAAGTCTATTAGTAAGTAGGACGGATCACAAATAATGAACACTGGAAATGAAATGTATGTAATGGATCAATAATCAAAAGGGAAACATGGTTAACTGGAGTCCAGAGACAGGGGCAGTCTAAATGGAGTTGGGCACTGATATAGGGTTTGGATTCCGGAAGGGAGATAAAGATAGATCAGATCATTTGAGATCCGGATCTCGGATCTGGATATCCAGAGAAGCAGATTTAGAGTTGAGAGTCCGGAATGGCATATGACAGGCGGGAGACTTGCCTACAAGGTGAGTATCCAGGTACTCAAAAACATCAAGACACTGACCTGGTTTATAGCCATGACAGCCAATGAACACCAAGCTCTGGAAGCTCTCAGAGATCCCCCAACCTTTCCACCTAACATCAATGAGGACTCCGAAGATTTCAATATCAGTGATACAGTGGCTCAAAAAACTGTCCACATGTTTTTGCATTTTTTACTATTTACAGTATTGTGTGAGAATACATAAAGACCTCAGTGACATGCTAATACCATATTGTAGTGCTGCTTCAGGGCTTTGGATTGAGCACCACATTGTGAGAATCAGAGGAGATATGGTGGAGATACAAGGCTTACAAAATCATGACTCATGCGGACAGTTTTTTGAGCACATATTAAAACTATATAAATCATCATTTATGACACCATAACAATCATGCCACCATTAAATAAATTATAAAGTGGTGTCATTATGTCATTTTAAAACCATATCTAACTATACAAACCAAAAATTTCCATATGTCATGGTTATATTCACCATGAAAGCCAGCCCCCCTGCTCAAAGGGATAATATCCTCTCTCTTTCCTATTCTGGCCTCTCTGCTTGTCAAATTTCCTCTAGAACTGGAGTATCCAAGTCCACTGTGGCCAAGTTCATCAAAGAAAGTCACACAGACAAGGAAAACTTCTGTGAAGGGCATCCATCCAAGCTCACCTCTACTGATAGGAGGGCTATCATTCAACATATCACTACAGGAAAGGCTGATAATGCTGTCCAGGTCACCTATTACATCAATTCCACCATCACATTCCCTGTCTCTTCACACACTGTGAGAAACATTCTCAAGACAGCTCATCTCAGGTCAGTAACAAGGAAGAAAAGGCTCTCCTCTCTATCACACATATGCAGAGAGGACTAGCACCCTTCTTGTTTCACGTATATACCTTGCCATCTGACCCAATCCTATTTATTGTGGTCTTATATGATCACATAACATGCTTCCAGTCCGTGTAATCCAATTCTGATGGGCTAAGGCAAAGGTTAGTCCTCTCTGCATATATGTGATAGAGAGGAGAGCCTTTTCTTCCTTGTTACTGACCTGAGATGAGCTGTCTTGAGAATGTTTCTCACAGTGTGTGAAGAGACAGGGAATGTGATGGTGGAATTGATGTAATAGGTGACCTGGACAGCATTATCAGCCTTTCCTGTAGTGATATGTTGAATGATAGCCCTCCTATCAGTAGAGGTGAGCTTGGATGGATGCCCTTCACAGAAGTTTTCCTTGTCTGTGTGACTTTCTTTGATGAACTTGGCCACAGTGGACTTGGATACTCCAGTTCTAGAGGAAATTTGACAAGCAGAGAGGCCAGAATAGGAAAGAGAGAGGATATTATCCCTTTGAGCAGGGGGGCTGGCTTTCATGGTGAATATAACCATGACATATGGAAATTTTTGGTTTGTATAGTTAGATATGGTTTTAAAATGACATAATGACACCACTTTATAATTTATTTAATGGTGGCATGATTGTTATGGTGTCATAAATGATGATTTATATAGTTTTAATATGTGCTCAAAAAACTGTCCGCATGAGTCATGATTTTGTAAGCCTTGTATCTCCACCATATCTCCTCTGATTCTCACAATGTGGTGCTCAATCCAAAGCCCTGAAGCAGCACTACAATATGGTATTAGCATGTCACTGAGGTCTTTATGTATTCTCACACAATACTGTAAATAGTAAAAAATGCAAAAACATGTGGACAGTTTTTTGAGCCACTGTATATGTGATGGTACCGACACACTCCCTATTAGCCATGCTGGGGGAGAGTTTGGAGACCTTGCGAGAGGTGTTCTTGGTGAGGTTTGGAGATTGTAAGTGTGTGTTCATAGACCAACAGTAATTGACATGTACATCAGAAAAGGTTGAGATGGTCCTCACAAGGTTCAACATGTTGACAATCACATGCGGCATGATCATGTTCTACAGAGAAATGTTGCTTTCAATGAGCAAATACAAGGGATGACTGAAGCATACCTTATATAGAGCCTGGAGAAATCACAGAAAGGCTTTAAGAATTTTTTGGATCACCTACACAGCAAAGGGACTGATGATGTTAATGGTGGTCAATGGCCAGTAACTGTAGTAGACACATTATGTGAGTCACTAGTTGGCGGTTTTGATGCTAATGTGAACAGTGAACAGTCACTGAGAAATTCATACTCAAAATATCATCGACCAATACTACCATTGCTTCTGTGCTCATTTGTCAAGGTGTCATGCCTTGCTCCCCAATATCGCCTGTCATGGGCATAACATTAGAAGCCCTTGAATTATATCGGGTGGCGCACCTCAGGAGCCCTCACTTAGTGATTCAAGCTTTTATCAAGACTATATGTGATTTACTTGGGGTATGTTTAAGTTCTCACTTCAAGTTCTATTGTGCAACATGCTAAATACAGACAGGTTGAATTCCAATGGCACCTCTCATGTCAATTTTCGATTGCACTTGACTTATACCTTCAAATCAGATGGGTCATAGCTTCACTTGTAGCTGAATCGCTCCAATGCAACTTACCTGACTGGTGCCTCAAACACGCATGTCTGGCATGCACTTACATGCTAACTGACAAAAACCAGCTACACTTCAAGATTCTATATGCTATGGATGGGAACAATTCATTAAAACATATTCTACAATGCTCACTCAATGACAACGACGACTCTCTTGGTGTATTGGCTGAGCTTCCCACTGGCCAGCTATTTGTTAGTGACCATTATTTATCTTGTAACTTCATAGATGAGTTTGCACAGGATACCCCATTGGCTACAGGAAATGATGTGAGTGATTGATGCAGAGCTTCTGTAGAAACAACTAACACAATCAGCATCTGACAAACAACTCATGTGAAGGCCAGTGGCAAAACATGGATGATGTGAGACTAAGAAATCATGGGGTATTTATGATGAAACTGGCATCTTTGTTGCTGTGTGCTGCCATGGCTTTTGTTTACTCATCACAGACATGGTGCAGAGCAGGGAGCTGTAAGTAATACATACTTTTGTTTTATGTTTCTGATTGGTGTTCTGATAGCACAAAGTACCCCCTGGCTGTTGTAGCCAAGCTACTAGATGCATTTGGTGACAGTCTGGGTGGTGGTTATGACATTGGCTGTCAATTTGAGACCACTCTCAATAACAGCTCTGTTGGACCCCTTGCACGCTCATTCCATCATACTTGCCTGGTTGGCGCATTTCACAGACATGTGCACAGGCAAATATGTCAGCTTTCTTCATTGACAACCTACGTCAAAGGTCTTGGGATCGAAGACCTGGAGACTTGTGAGTGGATTTTTTCAAAGTCAAATTCCCTGGCCTCGGCTCTATGGTATACTAGTGTCTTCCACCGTCAGCAGGCTATTGATTCATACTTTGAGCATAATGACGAGCTTGAAATATATGGGAACCTTAGTATGTCAGTCTCTTTATCATATATGAGTGCTCGCTGACATAATTATTTGGTGGTTAGCAAATTTCTTGTACAATAACTATAAGTGTCATATGCCATTCTGGACTCTCAACTCTAAATCTGCTTCTCCAGATATCTGGATCTGAGATCCGGATCTCAAATGATCTGATCTATCTTTATCTTCCTTCTGGAATCTAAACCCTATATCAGCGCCCAACCCCATTTAGACTTCCCCTGTCTCTGGACTCCAGTTAACCATGTTTCCCTTCTGATTATTGATCTGTTACATACATTTCATTTCTGGTGTTCATTATTTGTGATCTGTCCTACTTACTAATAGACTTTGCATATGCTTCATACATAGCCTTTATGTTTGCTGATTGATTCCTATATGATACCTACAGTATATAAACCTCCTGTAACTCTCAGAAATACTCCAGTTTGAATATCATCTTAGTTCCTGCTCATTCCTGTGTCCTCTGGACTTGAGATAAGTCTCTTGTCATATTCTGAGTCTTAGGATTGCATCCTAGGCTACATTTCCGACTCTACCTTAAGGTAGTCTATCCTCTGTTAGTTTCTAGTCTGGACTTCATCCAGATTAGTCTTATCTGCTTGCCCAGGTAACATCCAGATGTCTGTCAGATTTATCTCATGTTTCAGATCTGGATGTCCATTGTCCGCCCTAGTCAAATCCCAGAAACTCTGGATGACTGTTCTAGCCCCCAGAAATTAAGGGCACATACTTGGGAAAGGGGTACAGCGTACGAGCTGAGGCCAAGCCCTTGTGATCTGACCCCCTTGAGCATGCAACCTTAACAATAAGCAAGCTCTTGAGATTCTGGCAAATGGCAAAACTGTCCTACCGAAGGTTATGCAAGACCTTGGAGTCAAGGACATGAGTGTTTTCAAACATTGGCTTGAACAAGAGAAAATTTACCTTAAGGGTCTGGCACGAGAGCCCAAAGAAGAGACACTTCAGATGGAATACTGGCAGTCATTAGTGAATCTCAGTGCAAGCGGGTAAGTTTTACTTTGACGTATCTCATTGTTACTGATACCCTCAAACAGTGTCACTCTTGATGCAGCAATGAACATGTTCAGAATACCTTCTCAGCCTAACAATCTACCATATGATGCAGATACTGGAAGTACATACGAAATTGAGAGCATGCAGCGCCATGCTCTCGAGGTCTATGACAGAAATTTAAAGTTAGTTCAAGCTTTAGAAAGTAAACTCAGGATCATCACTCACTGGGTTCTGGATGATGGAGAGTGGCAGAGGGTGGGGAGGCTCGTAGCCAATAGGAAGTATCAACATGCGCTGGACCATCTAGAAGGTTTGGTTGTTGCTTGTATATTTGAACTTTTGAAGATGAACAGGGCGGGGACAGGTGAGTTTAAGTTAGGCTTGACTTGTTTCAGCTGATTACATCTATATTTGAGGTTACAAACTATGAAAACACATTGCAAAGGCTTTGCAGATGCACTCCACTGCCATCAGATCTGCCCTGAACACATACAACAACCTTGCTAGTGCAGTGTATCCCCCCTGGAAAATGCTGAAGTGGGAGGAGGTTGTGGAGTATGCCTTTCTCGCTGACTTCAAGCTGCTACAACACATGCGCTCTGATATCTCTCAACTGCCTTGCTCTTCACCAGCAGCTCAGGAGTGGGATGGATCTTCATTTCAAGATGTGCTGAGCACATGAGGAGATTTGTCATCTGGATATTGAGATTCGCCATTTCATGACCTATATATGAGATGAAGACAAGTATCTGTGGGTGTGTGAAGATCGACTAACAGTTGCTAACCCTGCCCTTGCCCATCAAATCGCTATACATCAGAATGTTCAAGGCTGGTTCAACTTACGCCATATGAAGCGGCTTCATGATATCTCACAGCTCCCTGGTTTCACTGGTACACTCATCCCTGGTCTAAGTGCTTGCACCAGTGTCAGAGAGAGTGCTAGCGTGCCAGATCCTTGGATTCCTGCCAATATGTTTGCTGCTAATACACCTGTACACAGGCCACCATCTTCTGTAGGCACAGATACTCAAGAGGACCTAGATGAAGAGGAGGTGGCAGAGGAGGTGGCAGAGGAAGCCTTGAGGAGTTTGCAGCATATCGTCCTCATCACTGATGACTTCTTGCAGCTTCAGGTTCTTGATGATGGTGAGGTGGAGGAATAGTCTAGTTTAGCCATTATACTGCTGTAATGTACTTCACTCATTATGCTTACTGTCAAAACGCACCTCTGATATGTCTGAATATTGTGCTCATCGTGTATGACAGCAAGCATGAAGGTTTGCATGGCAGGCACAGAATAGCCAATGTCAGGAACATTACCTGCATTAGAGCCAATGTCTCACGCCAGCTTACATAGGGCTACAGCTGTTTGCTTTTATTATAAGTCAGTCTTTAACCAAGAGATATTGGAGGAGGCTTAGAAACACTGTAAGTCCATCATTTTAGATGTGCTAACCCTATCTATAATCACATCTAATTAGAGGCAGTACATGGGAGTCACAGGTGGTTTTAAGATAATATAATACCCAAGTGCACATACATCAGTGGTTTGGTAGTGGTGGCTCTGATGGCTCTGGTGAGAGGGGGGGACTGAATGGACTCCCAGGCTATTGCCAGGAGTAACAGCAGGAATGAGAGTTGACAAATGGGTAAAACTTCCCTGTAAATTTTTTTCTTCATGCACTGTGGGTCTCAGGAGCACCAAAGACCTTGCTGGATATCCATTTATCCAATTAGGGGGAATGTTTGTTGAGGATTAGACTGAACTAGATCGCATCACACGCGAACCCAATAGACCCACTGACTCCTGAGGCTCACGCAATTATGTTGATTGGGTGGCAGGATTGAAATCTGATGTGACGGTAAGTAGTGATAATGGTCACCAACTTGAAATGGGTGGAATGTTCCTGCAAGAATTTGTCAGACACTGTGGACCACCAAAAAGACCTTATCCTTGTTGGATGTTCACTTAGCCATAGATGTCAAAGAAAAGAACAGTGATAATCAGGGTGGAAGTCTGTCACTTGTGAAATTTGAATGGATCCAGTCATGATACAATTGTGCTTGTTGGGGAGAGTACAGTGGAGGGAAGGATGGCGACATTGAAATCTGAAGATCCGGTGCATAATGGTAGTGATGCGGAAGCTAAATAGGTTGTTTTGCGAAGCAGCATGCCACACCGAACAGGTGAAATTTTACTGCAATAATTTGTTCCTTGTTTAAATACTGGAGTGGAAGGCCAAAAAAAATGAAGAGTGATGATTTGGATGCTCGCATATCAAGATATGAGGATGGACATTTGACTCACTGAAGTCACAATTCTGCTCACTGGGGAATTCAGTGGCACTGTGGATGAGGATAGTGGCTTTGAAATCTGATGGCATCATGTTAAGTGATACAGATAATCTGCAAATTTGACTCTATCAGCGATATCACGCACTGAAAAAAGGAGGTTGTGATTATGCTTGTTGGTGAAATCACGATGGCAGCAGTGGATGATGTTGAGAATTAAGGCTGAAGTGTGATTGATGCATGAATGATGATGCAGTTGTAAGATAGACCACTGTCATACATAGCTTGATCATGTGATCAGAATCATGACATTTCATGACAAAAGTGTGAGAATTGCATCTCACCCTTCAAATTGTCTTTGATCACCAAAGTAAAACCCAGGAAAGTTGACTTAAGTATATCCCCAGAGGACCTAGGTTTTATAATTAGAGTATGTCTCAAATTGAGAGCAGAGATAGCTTTTTTGTACTTGTTCTATGATTCATTGTGCTTTGTCAGCAACTTGACATATAGATCCACTTGAGTAGACGGAACCAAGTACACTACCTCTCTGCTATGCTGAAATAGAAATTGTGCAATGTTGCAAACCTTGGAAGTTGGGCAAAGTCACTTGGTCACTCAGGGACAAAGAGAATGTAAGAATGTTGTTTAAAGCAGCCTACAGGAATACTAACACAATGGCCCCAGAGTCCACCAAAAATTGATGTGTCTACTCCATCCAGTCCAAAGAAGAAAAAGAAAAAGAGAGCAAACATTACCACAGTACTACAGGATCCTCCTCCCTTTGTGCTACAAATACCAGAGTGCTTCACCAAGACTCAAAGAAAATTCCCTTGAGTCTGAGCCAAAGCATCCAAGTAGAATAGATATTGCAATGGGGCTTTACAAGCCCTCACCCACTGTTGAGGAGGCACACCTAGCCTTCAATGACATCAAGAGGATTCTTAGACCACTAAAGAAGACTGCTGGTTACAAAGACCCTGAGCTTGACTCAGTCTTTCATTGCTAACTTAAAGGAATGAAGCAATTCTTATGGGCCTATGTTGACCCTCAGTCTTTGGCATATGGAAAGTGGACAATGGCATCATTACTTACTGCAAAGGCTGTAGAATGGAAGTCTGCACACTCATGAGTACTCCATGAATGAGTACATGCCTTTATTGCAGATCATGGGGACCTCCCATTTAATATCTATGGGACATGGAATGAGTCATTACTTGACAAAGATGAGGAACTTGCACAGGAAATACACATACATCTACAAGGAGTTGGAAGATACATGAAGGCTATGGACATTGTTGACTTCCTTGATACACCAGAAATATGAAAACAGAGTGGACTTACAAAGTGAATTAGTCTTGCGACTGCCCAGTGATGGATGAAAAGGCTCAAGTACTACTGGACAAAAGACCCAAAAGGTCAATTTGTTAATGGTTACAAGAGATGATGTTGTGGCTTACCAGCAGAAAATTTTCTTGCCTGCATGGGCAGCAATCAAGGAGAAGACTTGAGATTGGTCTTGTCACAAGCAAGATGGAGACTACCCTCATCCTGAAGAAAAGAAGACTGTCATATGGTGGCATGACAAGTCCACATTCTATGCAAATGACTGTTGCAAGACATGATGGGTCCACAAAAGCAAAACAGCCATGCCCTATGTGAAGGAGGAGGGACCATCACAGATGATTGGGGATCTTGTTTCTGCTGATTATGGGTGATCGTGGTCACCTGATGGAAAAGAGGAGGCTTGCATCTTCTTCAAAGCAGGAAAAAATTGTGAAGGGTACTTCATGAACCAGGACATCCTTGAGCAAGCTGAAAGGTCAATGGATATTCTAGAGAAGTACTACACCAATGAAAACCATGTTCTCATATTCAATAATGCTATGACTCACTTAAAACATGCAGATAGAGCTCTCTCTGCAAGAAATATGCTGAAGGGAATATCAAAGGTGGGAAACAATTGGGGTATGGAGGTTAATGTTTGAGATACAGCTGGCAAACAAGTTTACACTGCAGATGGCAAGCTGATGAAAGAAAAAATTTGAATGGATGATGCAACTTTTGTGGACGGCTTGAAACAGTCACTTTATTTTGATGAAGATACTGGACCAAAAGCAGGCCTCTTCAAAGGAATGGCTGTAATCTTGTATGAGTGAGGCCTTATTCAAGAATTTAAACTGTGGGCACAGTGGAAGGACTTCAAATATGTGAAGGGAGCAACAAATTGCTGTACAATCAGTCAGATTTCATTGCTGTCAAGTTGGATCTTGAGAGGACATGCAAAGCAAGAGGGTTTTCAGTGTTATTCCTTCCAAAGTTTCACTGTGAACTTAACTTCATTGAACAGTGCTGGGGATATGCAAAATGAGTTTATTGTCAATATCCTGCATCATTGAAAGAAGCAGACCTTGAATGGAATGTTCTCTCAGCTCTTGAATCAGTGCTGCTTGATAGTATGTGCCAGTGCATTCATTATTAAAATCTTACATTAAAATGTTCACACCAATCAGGTTTTCAATATGAGCCTGGCGGTTCATGGATGCATATTATAAAGGATTGAATGGGAAACAAGCTACATGGGCCTCAAAAAAATACAAAGGCCACTGAGTACTGCCAGATAATATTTTGCATGATCTCAATGTATGATAGCAACTTGATAGCAGCTGTCAATAGTAAAATGTAACATAATGTCACAGTTGGCCACTGTCATATCCCACAATCTGGACCCACATTCCATCATATTCCCACGCCTTCTGAGCCTACATCTGGACCCCACTTCATATTCAACTCATTCCCAGATCCCCTTCCACTGTGTGCTCCACACCTCAGCAGGATCAACTCTGCTCTAGATTTACCCCTGAGCTCCAGACCATCAGATCTCTACTGCTAGCCTGATCCATACCCCCCTGTCTCATCCACCCTATGCACACTCCATCCAGTAAGACATCCAGACTTCACCTTGTCTTGGATTCTGGACTATATCCACTTCCTTATATCCTGGTCCTGTATCCACCTCATCTTCTGGATCCTCAGATCTCTGGACCTCCAGATATCAACCATAACTATCTCTGGATGTATTCCTGCCCTCTGTCCGATATCCTGTACCTATCCCCATTTAGACATCTCTGTCTTTCTGGCTTTCAGTTACCTCTTGTTCTGTCTTGCTTATTGATCCTTGTACAAGTCTTCATCTCCAAGTTCATTTACTTATGTTCCGTCTTACTTACTAATGTGTTTCCACATGCTCATACATAGCCTTGCTCCTTGGCTTACTGATCCCCTCAGATATTCTGCAGTATATAACCCCTGTAGATATGCCTGTAGTTTCCTTAGTTTAAATATCATCTTAGATCTGTCCTCATCATCTTAGACTTTGCTCTACTTGCCCAATCCTCTCTTGGACTTTGATTCACCTAAGTCTGTCCTATTCATCAGGCCTAGGGATTAATTCCCTAGGCTAGAGCTTTGCTTTTCTGGCACTTACCCTCTTTCTGGACTTAGGTCCAATCCCTGTCTCTCCAACTCTACCTTAGGGTAGTCTACCTCTGTTTGTGTCTATATTGGACTCTGTCCAATATAGCCCCTATTCCTTCCAGACCTCCAGGTGTCCTGTCCTTTGGACATCCTGCCCTCTGTATCCTCCATACCTTCAGACATCCTGTCCTTCATCCCTCCAGACATCCTGTCCTCCTGTCCTCCTGTCCTCTGGACCTTCTATCCTTCCATCCTGTTTCCTATAGAAGTATTACTTGCAGTGGGAACTCTCCTGAGCACTTCCTGCATTCCTCCAGAACTCTCCTGTGCTCCTCTGGACATTTCCCATGCTCCTCTGGAAGTCCTCTAGTACTCTACCAGAGTAGCCAGCCTC